GATAGAAAATGTGTGAATTTTGAAGATGCAAAAAGACGAAGAAAATGTTTTTAAATGTTTAGTATTTTTTCAAAAATTTTCCCAAGGCAGACCTTCAAGTTTTCAGTTGCTTTCTAGCATTTGCCAGGAACGAAGGGGAACCTACAGTCGGTAGTTAGTGAGTTAAAGTGAAGAATATATTGAGAATTTATTTATTAATTATTATTTTAATGTAATATTTAAAGTTTGTTATTAAACGAGATAATTTGAAGTGTAAGATAATTCTTTAACTAAATCTGAAGAGGATGGAGGCCCTAACATAACCTCAAAATTGAAAAATGTTTTTTAACGCAAACAAAAAGTAAAAATTAATCCAAACAATTTTAGAAGATTAATATATATACATTTTTCGAAATAAATAGAAAAAAATCAAAATATATTATTCTATCTTGATAAATATATATAATATAAATACCTATATCTACGAAATTTCGAATTCATATATACAAGGCGAATTAAAAAAACGACAACTAATAAATTTTGTAAACGCAAAACACGTGGTCCATTGACCATGCGGTTTAAGAAATTATTCATCGTATTATTTTCACTATATGTAAATTATGAGATATTTGAATATTTATTAAAGAAAAATAAAAAGACTTACCAATTTTCTGCATCCACGTGTATCCGCGTCCTCCTCCAAAGAGCTCTCGTCTCCACCGATGATTAATTTTCTCATTTTTTTTGATTTCACTTTCTCTCACATTTTCGAAATCACTCTCAAAAATAAAACGATCGAAACTTAAAAAAAATTATTTAATTTTAAAATTATGTTTAAACAAAATAATAATAAACCGATGTTGGATTTTAAGAAAATTCGAACACTCCCGAAAACTATAAGATACTAAATATTAATATGAAAAAAAACGATCGTGATTTTTAAAAAAATACAAACACTCCCGTAAGCTATAATTATAAAAGAAAATTTTTTTTAAATAAAAAATTATTTATAAACGCGGCACTTTATCAAAATAAAAACGTGAATACTTCTTATGTTGAATTAAGACGCGCGACAATTATTTATTATTGAGTGTGAACAGGTCAATTCCCAAATTGCAACTGATGCTTCAAGGTATATTTATATCTATGGTTAGGTTTAATATGATTGATCCCAATAAAATCATAACAGTTTCAATGCCACTGTCCTTTGTTTATACTTGAAGGTTATTTACAGATAATCATAGAAATAGAAAATTTATATATTCTTTTCTTTTTATTATGTATCTCAGTAGGGAATACATACTCGACAGAAGATTTTAAAAATATACAAAAAATTATTTGCTTCTTATTAAAATCTTTTTTTTTTTTTTATTCAAAACCACATAATCATTCTAGGACTTCTCATTTTTTATAGATTATACAAAAAAATGATTTATATTCATATATAGATTTAATATTAAAAAATTTCGTTTTTTTATTGAAACACGTATTACAATGTTTACGAAAATATTGCCAGCTGATTGCATTGATCGTCAAAAATAAAGTAATTTTATTTTTTTCTGTATAATCAATAATAATTTTGAAAATTTCAAATAATTATACAAAATTAATAAATAGGTAATAATATAAATAAAATAATTTATGTTTTCTTATTATATGTAACGCTCCACGAGAAAAGAGAGTAAAGAAATTTTAGGTTATGTTTAGTGATAGTTTTACCTCGATAAAAAGTTTCAAATTATATGCAATATTTAAAAAGTGAAATTATTAATATTAATTATTTTATTTACAAATGGTTAAAAAAAATTTATAAAAATTTACAAATAATACTTACGAAATTGTTATTACATCCAAGATAAATATATCCGCCAAGAACGCACATCCTCATTGTTCGAAATGACGTCATATCGCATGCAGCAACCTGATTGGTGATTGAAAGGTGAAAAATTGTCTTTAACGAAAACTAAAATAATTATAAATAAGTACACTCGTGGCCATAGATATGCTCACACATTTTTTGTCCTTTTTTAACTCACGTGTTGTCATGGCAACATATGCGTTAGAAAAGAACAAAAATGTGTAGGCATATCTGTTTACAAGTGTATATCGTTTTTGGTTGTCCATTTTCAGATTAATATTGGTATTACTGAATTTCCTAAAGTTACTATACATTATTGGGATCTGACATTCGTACACATGCCATCTGGTGTTGAAAAATGTAACTAGTTTTGGATAACTGTTTGTGTCACTTGCAATTGTAGTTCCGCTGTCATTGTTAATTATTTTATCATTATGAATGAAGCTACATTTTTACCGCGTGAGAAATCTTCCTGCAGAATTAAGTGTTCTGTGAGAGGCTGTGGCAGTACTGTAGCGAAAAATTTAAGCGTAATTTTCCATAAACCGAAACCAAAACAACGAGTAGTGGATGTGAAATATACGTTCGATAATTTTGAAAAAGTCGATCAATTAAAGGCCTGGAAAAATGCTTTAAAAAAAAACAGTATAAAGCCTTCTATGAGAGTATGTTCTCTGCCTTTCAAAAGAAGTGATTACATTTTGCCATGTAAGTTTAAGATTTTAAAATTTGGAGGTTATATAATCTTTCATATTACCCGTGCATGTGAACATTTTGAAAGTTAATTTATCACTGTAAAAACGGATAAATAAATTTTTTTTTCACTTCTTGTTAACAGACTTTTACAATGAAAAATGAAATACATACATTTATAAATTTTCATATAATTACATGAAATATAAAGGAAAATACAATACTTTTCTTGCACATGTATCGCTGGATTTGAGAAAATAATTTGTATAAAAATAAGATTTCTTTTATATTTTTATTCATGTTTGTAAATAGGAATGTAAATAGTAATTTTGTATTAAAAAAATTCACTTATACATTTATTAAATTAAGCAATATTTTTTAAACGATTTTAAAAACGATTTTTAAACATGCATCCCATGTTATTCCCATGTAAATTCACTAAAAGTGTTACCCAATTTACGCCATATTGCTTTAGGCCCCGCCCCCATGTCAGATCCCAATAATAGGGACATTTATAAAATTCTGATAAAAGTTGACAACACTGTGTTCACTTGCTTTTGACCAAAGTTCAGATGGATTAATTAAAAACCACATGCAACTGTCAATGGTGCAAAACAAAACATTTTTCAAGAATTTCTAATAAACACTTGTAACTAAATAATTATTATTTAAAATCAAAAGCAATATTTTGATAATTTTTTATTTTGTATGTATGAATGAAGGATAAATATATCTATGTAAAAACGTTCATTTCAAGAAAATAACCTCAAATATTAAAAAAAAGCCCATAGCCAAAAGTGGTACGGCAAAAATATGATTATATTTATTTTCATTCTATAACATTTTTTGTTTTTTATAGTTGTCAAAAAATAGTAGAAAAAAGATTATTAAAAAAAATCAAGTCCAAAGCCTGCTGCAGTCAATAATCTAACTTGTTGGAGATACAACGATATTTATAAATATTTAAGGTTTTAAGTAAAATTCAGGTGGAAAGGGAAAACCAGGTACTTGAGGTACCTGAGTGCAATTCCGAGTTGAAGGATTTTGTCAGTCGTGCTATTATAGTATTGCGGATAGCATTAAACTTTGTACGGCTCACTTAAAGAATTCAATAAAGAATCTACATTAAAGTCAATTCTATGTTTGTCAACTTAACATTATAATTGTTCAATAAAGTCTTAATTTATCTGTTTCAATTTCTTATCTTTCATCTTATACGTGTTTTACTTCCAAATAACCTATCTAGTTTCAACATAACTCTAAAAAACCAATTAAATAAAGTTAAAGTTTAATATTTCTATAAAATAACGTTTAATTTATAAATTTTATTTATTATTATAGCTTCGACAAAAGTGGTATACTTCTATCCCAATAAATATTAATTTCAATCATCGAAAGATGTATATAAATTTTTTTTAGAAAAAATAATGTTAAATCAAAATTTTACGTTAAATAATATTATTGTTTCAATATTTACTTATTCCACAATTATATGGGCAATCAGCTTTTATAATAATAAAGAAACTGTTTATCTATAAATTTAAATTAATAATTTTTAACTACTTAACGGATTTTAAATACATAGTTAAAAATTATTAATTTAAATTATTTAATTAATATAAACAATAAGTTTTGTGTTAATATAATTCCAACAATCGATCAGTTACACAAACTATGTTGGTGATTAATTTGTTTTTGCAAGGAGACCCTAACGGATTACTTAATTCTCTGGCATATCAAATTTCTTCATACCTACCTTTTTAATTCCACTCCGATTACTATATAGGGTCGTCCTATTAACCCTTCGTATCCCACGTCACGGTCGCTTGCCTTAGTGAATATAAAATTGAAAGGGTAAAGGATTCTCCACACTTTTTTTTTCATTCATTTTTTTTTTCTTTATTGTTTGGATTCGCGTTGCCTTAAATCTAAACGATGAGTGGCGCGAATGACGATACAACGTTATTTCAAAGTTCTGCATTTTTCTATTCTTATTCATTCACTCACTTTCATATTCTCACTCTCTCTCTTTTTTTTTCTCTTTCATTCTGATTCTTTCATTTCTTTTTTTTAAACACATATTCTCGTTTATCTCTCACATTCACAATATACCTACAGTCTTTTTTTTCTACTCAACTCTCCCTCTTCCTGTATGTACGATAAGACATAGAAAAATATGAATATAAGTTTCTAACGACTTTTAACTATATACACAATGTACACAATATAAAATACATTAACTTATAAATGTGCTTCTAATATTCTTATGTATACAATATACATACAATACAATACATATTAATTATTATTTGAAATTAGTAAAATTACACGTAGAAACGAGTTGACAACACAAAATGTGGCAACAATTTAAAAAAAAAAACCAATAATTAATAATCATTATTAAATATAGAAAAATTAAATTATTTTCCTTAGAAAATTTAATTTTTTTAATTATTAAACATATCGCAATATCTTCTTTTTTTAAAATATCGTTTAGAACAGATATATGTAAAAATAACATAATCACATATGAAAAAACATCTCTCGCCAAATGTGAACAGGACGAAATGATTATTTCGTCAACAAACGTTAAATATTATGCAGTACTGAACACATTATTATTATTTTTTTTTTTTCAATATTCCACAATCTCACGAATCCTTTCTTGTGTCGGAACAACAACAACAAGGCAATATCAATAATTATACCGATAAAAAATATTCTTCATTTAAAATGAATCCTCTCATTTTGAAGCAAATGATTTTTACTTTAAATCTTTAAAAGATTATTTTTTCGGTATAATTCGTAAAAACTAAAAAAAAATAAAAAAAATACAGAAGTCTCGTGAAAATTATTCACTAGTGAAAAAAGAAATATATAAAATAAATGCTATAAACTTTCTCAAGTTTTATGAAAAATTAACTAAAAATGCATATATGTTTAAAAATGGGACAGTCTTCTTTAAAATTTATTTGCACTGCAACATATATATATATATATATAAATATAGAGAGAGCAAATATTTTCGCAAGTGAATAATAAGCCAGAGGCTTGCTGTATTAAATAACATTATTAACTTTATCTGTTTATAATATATATCTATATATATATATTTACATTAAAAAATTTTTTAGCTCTCAAATACACAAATAAAATAAAATAAAAAATATTTCTATTAATACATGACTTCATACACTGTCGCTTTCTTATCTCCAGATCCGGTAACAATGTACTTATCGTCTGCTGAAATATCACAGCTCAACACTGACGACGATTCCTTTGACTGAAAAAAATTTTATAATTTATAGCCAACAATATTTCTTTGATAATATCCGATAATTCAATTTGTAAAAAAATACCAATTAAAAAAAATATTTATATACCACATTTTTGTTTATAAATTAATAATTTTTTTTTGCCAATATAAAATAAAATTTAAAAAATAATTCTAAAAATTGGGTGCAAATTCTATCACCACAATAAGAAATTACAAAAGTTTAAATTATTGGCATCAAGTTACAGTAACAAACATAACCTCAAAATATGAATGTTCTTTTTAATCTTAAATTTTGAATTGGGATCCGTTAATGCATATTTAAATCGTAAAACATAAATAAAAATAATTTTAAGCCAATGAAATAAAATCATTCTCACTTTTCAAGATTGAAACTATAGAATTTCGATTTTTAATGTAAAGTTTTAGTCCGATTTCTAACAGTATAGTTCAGCAAGCGCTTGGATTTAAGTCAGAGTGGGAGCAATGAGTGTAAGAGAGAAGTTTCCCTGACATCTCTCTCACACTCATTGCCCCCACTCTAACTTTAAAGCCCAGTACAGGCCCACAGTGGTTTAGAATTACAATTTAGGGTTCATAATTCACTGCAGACTACAGTTTTTGATGCATTTTGACATTTTTTTTTTTTTTTCAAAAATTTCAGCGTTGAATTCCTCAGACCGTCATTGGACCCAATTATTAAATTTCACCAACAGACAATAAATATTATCACTGTAGTCTCATTTTTCATTTTATACAGTTTAAATAAATAATTTTGCAGAATGAAATTCAAAAATCGGACCCAATGACGGTCTGGAGAATTTAACGCTGAAATTTTAACAAAAAAACGTCAAAAATTGTAGCCTATAGTAAATTATGAACCCTAAATTTTAATTCTGAACCATTGTGCAGCCTATTCACAAATACCGTCCATAGAAATCAAAATTCAGATTTTATTTTGTATCCATGTATTGAAGTTATAACCATAATTGTGGATTTTAGAAATAGAAATCATATTTAAAAATTATCTATAAAAGGAAACCAGGTACTTGAACTACCTGAGTACCATTTTGGGTTTACAATTTTTCGTCAGTCTTACAAAAACAGTCCTACAGTAAAATTGTAAAGTTGTTCAGTTCATCTATAAAATACAAACTAAACATTGTCAAAATTTTGGATGTCTTAATAAATTAATAAACATTTATATTTAAAAATGCTAAAGAGCATGTTTTACAAATCTATAAATTTTTGTTTTAATATTTAGTTTCTGAAGGTTTACTTTTTTTTTATTTCAAACTTCACTGAACAAACTATCAATAAAAATTCCATTGTTTGTAGAGAAACAACAATAATTTAGATATTTTCAGTTTTATCTTGAATATAGGTTTATTGCTACTTTGCACGCAACTGTCCTTAATAACAGTTTAAAATTAATTGGCAAAATATTTTGTTTTTATAAGAAAAAACTCGGGTCTTTATAACTTCATATATATATATTATGGATTTACAACCCCGTTTATACTTCTAAATAAATAATTCATTACTTCAATTAGCCGTTAAGGAAGATAGTTCTATACGGTTGAAAAAACTTCACACACGAAGATTCGAGTCAGAAACGTTTTAAAAACAAATTATACAATTAAAAGTATTTTTATCGTATTATCGTATAAGCTAAAGTGGGGTATTATTATACGAAACTAATTGATTTTGTTCATAAAAACAAACATAAAAAGACGGGTGTGTTATTACGTTCTTCAGTTAAGAAAACCGTTAAATTTTTTGATAAATATTGTTTAAACAGCTTTGGAAATAATAAGAAATAGAATAAACGTAAAATTAAATAGTAAAAAAAAAAAAAAGAAAATAATCTGCAATTGTTTTTTAATTCACTCACCTGGAATATGGAGGCTCCATATGGAGTGCGCCAAGCATTGAGTAGGTTGTCTTTTCCGGTGGAGACAAACCATTTGCCACATGAGGCAAAGCGTAAGGACAACACGCATGAGTCGTGCAGGTGTAGTTGATATTTGTCAGGTTTTGTAGCATGAAGAACCTCGACGTTTGAATTTTCCATACCAACAGCTAACCATTCACCAGTTGGACAATAACCAAGTGAAAATATTTGCGATGTAAAGTCATGTTGCTGCAACTGTCTACCCTCCCTCAAGTCCCATGATCTAACGGTATTATCTAAACCGCCAGTCCATAATTTAGAACCATCAGGGGAAATATCGATACACGATGCACCATCCGTATGTCCTTGAAATTGTCTGACGAGAGTCTGATTCTGAAGATCCCAAACGGCAATATTACCATCGCTACAACAACTGAAGCAGACCTTTGAGTCTGGTGAGATTGCCAAAGCGTAACATGCCGGTGCTGATGATGTTAATTCGGCCTTGATTCTTGGTGTGGGACTCGCCAAATCCCATATGCTCAGCTGACTTGCCTCACCACCAACGATCAGAGTTCTACCATCGGGTAGAAGTTTCACCGATCTAATGTAGTTATCTCGTTGTAAACAATCCAACTGTGAAACAGGCTTAGGACTGCCAGAGCCACTTTGACCAATGTCCCAAACTTTGACGCAACCCTTGCCCCCAGTGTAGACGTATTTAGTTGGGTTTGAGATCGTTACTGCACAGACGACTTCACCATGAGTGAGGGTGTTGATTTGACGAGCGTGTCTGGGGATTCCGGCTGCGCTTAATGCATCCTGAGGGAAGGGGACTGGTACCATCGTCCCTTCACTCGGCACATGGAAACTGTAAGCTCTGAAATCAATGCAGAATATTTACATCAATTTCACTTATATAGATTTAGAGAGAGAGAGAGAGTGAGAGTTTTAAAAGCAAAATCCCCTCGGCTAAAATTTAATAATACCGTGAAATTTGTCGAAACCCGGCTATCATCACTTTGTTCCCAATACCTGCAAAGTGCCATATTCCCCATTTTGTCATTACCCTTTTCAAACGATTGTATAGAGAAAGATAATTTTAAGCTATATAGCTTGATTGTAAAAATTTTTAAAGAACCTGTCATAAATTCTAATCCTACTGTGATTCAGTGAGAGTATTTAAATACCTTTTTCGGATTATTTTCATGTACAGTTTAATTCAACTTTCTACTTAAGTTAGTAGAAACTATTGTGGAAATTAGTGGAATTAAGTAAATGCTTATTAATTTAGAAATATGATAAAGTGAAAAAATTCCGGATGCTAAATGAAAAAGGAAGGATGACTAAGTCCCATATAGGATTACTCGTTAATGATAATCATATATTATCAGCGCCAAAAGTGCACAGGAAGCCTGAAAATCTCTTAAAATCATCGGAAGCAAGTATTGTTTATCTTTACAGAACTTTATACAGAATGCGTTTAAGTGAAAACGGTGATATGGAAGATCATGTTAACAAAGTACAGGAAACAGTAAATATAGATTAAATGCTCTCTGGATGAAGAGATTAGAAACCAATTTTCAGCATCTATAAACTTTACCCGATTTGTACGATACTTTGGCGATATAAGCCTAAAAGGAAGACAAGAAGGGTTTTCATTGTCTTTTGCAAAAATTAAATACTATATAGAAAGCGTTAAAATAAAATGGTATTAAACAAAGTAAATCAAATCCAGGAATCAGTACTTGCACAAATTACAGCAGAAAAGGATTTTGTTTCTTTCGGTAAAAAAGGAAATTGTAAGGGGAGGCACCATTCCTAATTTTGAGCCATTTAAATTATTAAACAAGGTTTTTTTAGCTTCATTTGTGTTTTAAAAAGGAAGTGGTGCCTCCTCTAAAAGGATATTGCAGAAAGCACAAAGCTTGGAAACGAAAACAAGTTACATATAGCTAATGCAGTATCACGTACATTTGGAAGAACATCTCTTTACGACAAAAGATAATTTGTGCAGCAAGCCACATGTTCAGAAGTAAAGAACATTTAAATCCCATAACTTAGAAAAGAAAGGTACAATTTCCGGATAAGACAAAATTTACCGATTTGATCAGGGACATTTAGACTCATAAACGAAGGCAAGATAATTGCAATAAAGATGACGGAAGTTTGGTACGTGCGCGCTAAAACTAAGTTCGAGCTCACCATCGATCGCAAAAGTAATAGAAAAAATGGTGTGTGCAATTCAAAAATAAATTTGTAAACCCAACAGACAGAAAAGAACCCAAGCTAAGGAAATAAATAAAGGTCTTCACGATACTGAAAAAAATTCCTAGGCGATTTGGTCACGAGAGGAACCCACTAAAAATCAGAGTCACATTAACTAGGATTTCTAGTTATCTCAACAAATTCCTTGTCATAATAACTAGAAATCCTAGTTAATGTGACTCTGATTTTAAGTTCCTCTCGTGACCAAGAGCCTAGCTAAATCGCCTAGGCATATTTTACAGTGTAATTGCTTGAGTTACAAGCAGATCTTTTTGATAAAAAAAAATCGTTTAAGTAAAGAAAAAATAGTATATCTTTCTAAAGTATAACGAGAATAAAATAACTATATTTTCAATTATAAAAACTTACGGTTTTCCACCAGGCACAGGTCCCAAAGGTACAGGTGGCACTCTCATTGCTCCATGTGGATCATAAAGTGATTGTGGTAATGATGGTCCTCTAGGTGGTCCATAGCCATTGTAACCAAGCATATCCATATGTGGATGTTGACCACTCGGTGGAAGATGATGAGGCGGTGGTCCAGGTGGATAGTGTGGATATACACCAGGAATTGCACCTGGAGGCGGTGGTCCCTGATGATTTTTACTTGAAACTGTTGATGCTTTCAAACTACCACTGCTCGCTGACGTTGGAGTCATTGGTTTTGAAATTGGTGTCGTTGGCTTCTCACCTCGTTCCTCCATTTTTTTTGCCGATGGCGTACTTGCATTACTACTGGTTCCGCTTCTTGGTGAATGTGGCGGTGCATCTTTCTTCGATTGAATACTCGAGCCCAGAGGCGGAACACCCACCTTGTCAATGCCATTCTCACGAGGTGATGATGTACCATTTACCGCTGGACTCGTTGGTCCTTCACTCGCATCATCAACCACTAAATCTTGATCGCTCTTTTCTCCATCACTCTATACATATATATAATAAAAATTATATTTTAATTAATTCGATTTCTATTATTTTTAATAAGATTAAAAAAAAAAATTGAGGCCGTGAGAATAAATTGAAAGACTTTGGTGTGCGCGCCACTACTATGCTTATATTCTGTAATTCTATATCGGTTGCGTTGAATACTGCAATTTCGCTGTTTGCAAAGGATTATTATCGTAATTGCAGCCGGAATACGTCGCCCGTATAGTCAACAATTCAGTCACCGCACGACAGATTAGAGATCTTGGTATGAAAATATAATCAAGTAATAATCTCAAGACGTCACTTATTTGAAAAAGAGTGTGGCAAAAAATAATTTTCCCCAACCGACAAAGTATATTGTATATATATCTAATCAGTTTATATATCACGCTTCAATGTTCAAAGCAAAAATTGTTAATATAGCAATTTTCAATAAGAGAGAAAAAAAAATAAACTTACGTGACCAGCGTCCTTCTCTTCTTTTTTCATCTTCTTTATTGCATGCATAGAATGATCATGATGATTTTGTGTATGATGAGAATGATGTTCTTGCGGTGTCCGTGACCTACTGTATTTATCACCCGGTGATATAGAACTTCTCTGAAACATAAATAAAAATAAGATTTAAAATTTTGCTCATGATATCATTTTTTATTTCTAAAAATAAATCTAAACTTTTTTTTTCAAAAAAGAAGTATATCGATAATCGCAACAATTACTTATACTGTTACGTGAAAAAAATTTGTAAAAAAAAAAAATTAAAGAAGCACGCAAAGTGAAATGTAAAAGAAATGAAAAAAAAAGACAGACATTGAGACAGACAGAAAGTTCAATCACCGGTGGCAGGAACGTGATGTCGAAGGGAGTGTTTGGCAAAAAAAAAGGGGGGGGGATTCTTTAGAAAAGAACGAAAAAGAGTAGGCTTCTCACGGTCGAGAGACGAATAAACAGAACGTTTCAGGTCGTCGTTATAATACCTAGACACACTGCGATTCACGCGCGTCCTCTCTCTCTCTCTCTCTCTCTGCTAGCGTGCAACTTTGGCTGGTAATAAGGCATAATGGAATTCGGGATACTGAACGTGGGCGTGAATAATAAGAAAAAGAACAAGTGCTCTGGAGAGTAGTCTGAAAAGAAAATAAGCTGCTGAGATGGGAAGCAGGGAGTGAGAACAGAGAGAGAGAGAGAGAGAGAGAGAGAGAGAGAAAAAGGGAGAAAAAAAAGATCATCCGCGAGAAAGAGGTAAGAAAAGAAAGCGAAGGATCGGGTTAGAAGAGATGATAATGATTATAAAGCAGGAAAGCAGAGATTGCTGTGGGTAGCAATTTTACATTCAGGAGAGATTTTAAACACGCCTAATATTACAATCAACGAAATTTATGTGAGAATATTTCTTTTTTGGTATTTCTATAACCGCGTATTTGTAATATTGTTTTTATTAAAAAAAATAAATAAAAATTGAACATGTGTTCATGAGTCATTATTTTGCAATTCTTCTATTATGTTAATTTAATTCTTTTTACATATTTTGAGAGATTGTACGATCATTTGTATTGAATACACATTTATATTATTTATATTTACTTTACAATTTGAAAAATAATTTAAAGTTCCTTGACTTTACTTTTTACATAAAGAGTCGCTTGTAATTTTTTTTTTTTAGTTTTATACTGAAAGAACTACAATTTTTGTTTGGCTATAACCAGAATTAGTACACTGTAAAAAAAAGGAATTGAATTTCAACTCCCTAAGGGCGATGCTATAAAAGTCCCACACTTTTGGAGTTGAAGCGAAGGGAGTTAATGATTTAGGAGTTAATTTTATGCCTAGGGAGTTCGTTTTAAGGAGTTAATTTAATTATTAACTCCCTTTTTGAGTTGATTTTTAACTGGAGAAATTTAACTCCCGGTGCTGTTAACTCCTTAATTTTTTTACCGTGTACTATATTTTAAAAGTAAACTCTCTAAATCTGAATAAGTGAAATTTCACTTAAAATGTGTCAAAAGTCTTCCACGTAGAAAAATAAGTGTATATGCACTTAAAAATAAGTGAAACTTCACTTATTTTTGAGTGAAAACCACTTATTTAAAAGTGCATATACACTTATTTTTCTACGTGGAAGACTTTTGACACATTTTAAGTGAAATTTCACTTATTCAGATTTAGAGAGAAACCGGAACTGTCCGCAGTTTCTGCATATTTCTGTCAATTTTTACTCCAGAAATAGTAAAATTTACTCCTAAAATGGTAAAAATTATTCCGGGAATAGTAAATTTTACTTTTTTCTGGAAGAAAAAATTGACAGAAATGCGCACAAACTGCGGACAATTCCGGTTTTACTTTTAAAGTAGTACACGGTAAAAAAATTAGGGAGTTAACAGCACCGGGAGTTAAATTTCTCTAGTTAAAAATCAACTCAAGAAGGGAGTTAATAATTAAATTAACTCCTTAAAACTAATTCCCTTATTTTTTTACCGTGTACTACTTTAAAAGTAAAACCGGAATTGTCCGCAGTTTCTGTCAATTTTTACTCCAGAAATAGTGAAATTTACTGTTCCCGGAATAATTTTTACTATTTCCGGAGTAAATTATACTATTTTCGAAGTAAATTTTACTATTTCTGAATTAAAATTTGACAGAAATGCGCAAAAACTGCGGACAGTTCCGGTTTTAATTTTGAAGTACAACACGGTAAAAAAAATAGGGAATTAACAACACCGGGAGTTAGGAGTTAAATTTTTCGAGTTAAAAATCAACTCAAAGAGGGAGTTAATAATTATAAATTAACTCCTTAAAACTAACTTCTTTGGCATAAAATTAACTCGTAAACACTTCGCTTCAACTCCAAAAGGATGAGACTTTTATAGCATCCCATAGGGAGTTAAAATTCAACTCCTTTTTTTACAGTGTAAAAGTTTCTTTATTCGTTTTTCCATTTTTCTCCAGGTTTTTACTTTGTACAGCAGAATGGATATATTAGTTGCTTTTATTTTGATCTCTATCATCAAATATAAATTTCATCCAAACAAGAACGCAATTTGTTAGAAAATAGAAAAAAAAATTTCTGCACAATTATCTGTCATAGTTGTCAAGAAATAAAAATTTTTGAAAAAAGTCCTTTTTCGAGTTATTTCCTATATATACATAAGTGTGGCATCATATTATTATACTCAAAGATTAAAGATATCCTTAAAGAATAACACAGTATGTACACTAAAAGTAATAATCCTGAAAATAAACATTCTTCTTCGATCATAGAAATGATAATCTTTTGTTAAAATGAATTTTCACGCGCGGAATATTATAAAGATATTTCTGAAAGATATGCAAGAATTCGAAGAAATTTCTATATACATATATAAAAATTTTAAATGCCAGCTACCGAATAATTACTGCTTTCAAAAACTAAAGATTGAAACAAGATTTCGGTGAATATTGTTTTGAACATTATATTCTTATTTAAAAATATAAAATAAAAAAAAAAATATAAAACAATGTTTTCATTTAATAAAGTTTTTTTTTTTTTTTGAAACCTTGAAAAGACCCAAGACAATTTAATAATAAAAGAGAAAAGAGCGACGCGGTTTGGAATTTCGTGAGAGGAGAACGTGCGGTCATTTGGAGAGAGAAAGAGAGAAAAAAAAAGAGAGAACCTGGCGCTTGTCATTGAGGGGACTAATGTAAGTCCATTCCATTGAAACACGGAGTAATTACGGTACGAGGCAGGCAGTAAAGAGGGACCCTAACGTGGCGATATTATCCATCCCCGAGAGTGAGAGAAAGAGATAAAAGAGAAAAAAACAGAGAGAGAGACCCCAGCAGCTAGTCACATTCTCGTTCAAATTCTCATTCTCGGTAATATTACCATGGTAATACAGCCGTCTCAGATCACCGCATCGGTCGTGAGGGAATGAGAGGAGAAATGAGAAAATAAAGAGAGGAGTATATAGACAAGGGAGGAAAAGAGCCTGAGGATGTGGACGAGGAAAGGTATGAGTAAGAGAGCAAAATAGAATGGCGAGAGAATGAGAGGGCGTCGATGGGCGTTTCGCGGTCCCGCGATGATTACAGGCTCGGCGAACCTATAATACGGCATCGTCTTCTGCCCTCTTCTCCACTTTTTTTTTTTTCTTTTTTATTTTATTCTCAATTTTTCTTGTTTTAATTCTTTCTTTTTTTCCACCTCATCCTTCTATTTTTCAAGCCCGCCCCCCCTCTCCCCCCGCTCTCTCGGGGGGGTTTTTTTTTTCTGCGCTTCTTGAAGCCTTTATCGTTGTCCCTATCGTTATTTCTTATGAGGGACTATTTCATCTCATCTTATCGTGCGTCTCGTCTCATCTTGCTTAGGGCCTTAGTAGAGAGCTTTATATAGGCAGGGCACTTAAATTTTCTTTTCTTTATTCTTAAACCACCACCACCCCCTCCCCTTCCACTCTTTACCAATGTCTACTTTATGATGTGGCTCTTGTATATAGTAAGTTCGATATAAATCGACTTCCCCCTTTTGTCCTTTTTTAGAGATATATGAACATGACGTTAACATCGCAGTAAACGAGCTTTTTTTCTCGCTTCCGATAACGATGTAGTTGACCTTTGAAACCATAATCTTTTACAAAATTCTTTACTTTAAAAAAAAAGAAACAGGTTTTGGATTTTTTTTATACACTACTTCTTCTTAAATTCGTTTCGTTTAATAGACAATTTTTTTATTATTTTTTTTTTCATATGCTTAAATGTGATATTAATGAAGATATATTATATGTGACGCTCCACGAGAAAAGGGACATTGGAGGTAAAAAAATTTTAGGTTATGTTTAGTTATGATTTTATATTGATTAAATATTTATCTATATATAGGTAAATAAAAATCAGTTTTTATTAAATATTTTTGATGTTATCATTGACTTACAACTACATATTTTATTAAGTGTTGATCCTGTATTTTTAATTCAAAAATCATAAACATAACCTAAAATTTTTTTGCCTCTAAGGTCCCTTTTCTTGTGAAGCGTCACATATATATGCAAATTTAAGTTAATTGCGAAATATAATTTATAAGAATAAGACCTAATGATAAACTAAATTTTAGGTTATGTCTAGAAATAGTTTTACCTTAATTAAACGTTTATTTTTAATTATATAAAATCAAAATCAGTTTTTATTGAATATTTTGGAAATAATAAAGACTTAAATATCAGTATAGTGATTTGTATTAAGAGGAGATCCTCTTTATATATTTTCACTCCAAAAATCATAAACATAACCTAACATTTTTACCGTAAGGTCCCGTTCACCACATATATTATTATACACGGAGAAAAATAAAAAACAAAGAATAAAGTATAACTTTTACTATATAGTTTCAATGTAAACCCTAAATTGTAAAAAATTTCTACACATTTCTACACTGAAAGAAATTTCATAGGAAAAAATAACAAAATGCGTATTACATTTTAATATATTCTTTTAGAATTTAGGGAAAAGTGTACTTTTTATTAAAATTCAATATACTTTATATTAAAGTTCCAACTTAAAATCTTTTTTCAAATATTAATAATTATTGTAGAAAGAACGTAAAAAGATTACCAATATTTGAAAATATTATATTAAATTCTCATAGAGTTGTTGCATTATATGGAATGTAGCGTTCTAATATTTGTAAAACTTTATACGAAAAATTCAGAATGTCGGAAGAAAAGGGAAAAAAAGTGGAAACTCGGACGTTTCCGTTAATTCTCGGGAGGAAGAGGAGTGAGACTAGGAACAACACATTCACACTTACGATACAGGTTAACACACATACTAATGAACACGCACGTTCATTTCGCTTATACATAGACATTACACGATCGCAACGAAACCTACACTTACAATTCTACACGCATAACGATAAATTTCGCTGGGGGTCGGCATATATCGTTTTCTTATATACTAACTACTGAATATTTTTACCACTTGCGAGAAAGAAGTTTACTTATAATAACTTAATAATAAAAAATAGTTTACTAGTGCCAATGGTGTAATTTTATAGAGGTTACGCTGGGTTCATTTTTATTATTAATTGTTTATATAGATTTTTCTTTTTTTTCAGATTAAAAATTATGATTGTTATAAAAATTTTTATTGCAAATAAAAATTAAATAATTGTAAAGATGACATCAAAAAATAAAAATTAATAAAAATAATAATAAATTTAATAATTATAAATGTTTTCTGTGGCACTATAAACATTTGAAACACGTGTGTTGACAGTTGATAGCCCTACCGAAAGAGTGGTATTGGAATGGTACTGAATTGGACTTGGCTTGAGTTCCACTTCAATACCACTACCTGATAACCCATAAGAAGACATTTTTAAAGTACTTTAACAATAGTTTTAAAGGTATATAAGATTAACAAACCGTCTCTCACGATATACGTGTAAACAGCAAAAAAAAACATAATAGTTTGTAGAAAATTTCTGTTAAGTTTGGAAATTATATTGCAATCCCTCCTTGAACAATAGACCCCTAGGTCTTTTGTTAAAGGATTAAAATTTTAACCCGAGTTTTATTGCTTAAAAAATTTATAATTTTAATAACTTAACTTTAAAAAATATATATTGAGATTCGTTAATATTTCCAGATTATGAATATCTAAAATTTATCAAAAAATAATTACATTTAAAAAAGTTATAATATATCTCGTATACCTTAAGTTTGACAAAAAAATGGACATCATTTTTGAATTTAGCTGCCAAAGGACATATCATATGCATAATAATGTATGAAAATAATATAAATCCAGGAAAAACAAATATAATATTGAAATAAATATAAAGTATTAGTTTAAACATATTGAAAAAGCTAGTCGCTTTTCACTTTTATGAGGGTATTAACGGTAACTCGATCCTTTTTGCAGGTAAATTTACCAGTTCCATTTCAGTACCAAAATGCACCAAATTAGTACTGAGTTGGTACTGAGCCCTCAGTTCCAATTTTCCAGTACCAATCCAGTACTACCCTTCCAGCAGGGAGGTACGTTCTGCTGGTTAACAACACTTTCGAAAATCGGATCAAGTCGTAGAAGTTCGAGTAGGACACGAAGCCGCAAACAGACAGAACTTCGGTTAAATTCGTAGTCTCTCGGGAAAATCCGTGACTTTTAATATAAAGTTTTACAAAATGTGAAATAAGTATACGGATATATGTTATTTTTCTTACTATTTTGTGAAATTATTTATTATAATATTTCGTATTCTGTGAATTCATAAAGAAAATACTAATTTTTAAAATAAATATACTAATTCTTATTTCTTAAAATAATAAAAACTCTTAAATTCATTATATATTTTCATAAAAACTGTAATAGTAATCAGTATAGGTGCACTTTTTCCCTAAATTGTAACATTTATATTAAACTCTAATATGAGTTTAATACTTAGTAGTATGAATTTTCTTTCAGTGTAGTAAATTTTTCTCAGAAAATAGTAAATAAAATACTATTTCCGAAATAAACTTCACTATATTTCAGATTTTTTCTATTTCCGTAGCAAAATTTACCAGAGATACATAGAAGTTCCGAACAATTAAGGTTTTACTTTATAAGTATAGTAAAAGTTACTCTATATTCTTTTCATGTAAATTTTTAAATTTAAAACGTTAATCATTAAATATTTGGTAATTTATCCCTTTACAATTTTTTTCTTTGTTCTAAACAATGACCAATACACAATTTTGTTTAAAAAACAAAGTTTTTAAATTAAAATTTTTTTACATATATCCTATATATATATATGTGTATATACGAATGTTTTGTGTTTATAAAACTTGTTTATAATGCTTATCAATCGAGTATTGAATTAAAGCCGCTAACAAGCACTAATTACCTTTTATTTCATTATTATATTGAATTGATATCAGAAAAACGATGGAAAAAAATTATTATGCAAACCTGCCATGTTTATTTTCAAACATGCTAATTAGTACATACGAAATTTTTTTTTTCCTTCATTTGCAGGTGTGTTTTCAGTATTTGCAATCTCCACATATATCATTAACATTCATATATATATATATATATATATATATCGTTCCGGTTCGATTTAATAAATGTGTATAGTAATAATTTTTATACAGAGTAGCTATGCGCGCGTATTCTCTTTTATTTTAATTACCAGTTTTCCGCGATTCGCGTTTACAATTTTACCTTTTACGATGAGTAATAGCGGAGAAGTATATATACTTTTGATTTTCACTTGAAAAAGTTTTGTCCCAATATTTCAATATTCGTTCGATCCCCTTAAACCATTATTGCACTCATAAATGTTATAAACATATATATATATATATATAGTATATACAATTAGACTCGTATTTGAATGATTAAGAGGTAAAACGGCAAATTAAAAGTATACTACACAACACGCATACACTAAAAATCGGGCACCAAAAATAAATATACCTATATATATATAGGATATCGAATCTAAATGCGAATATATTTCTCTTTCATCGAAATTCATTTTATTTGCTCGTTTCGAAATGAATCGAAATTTTTATTATGGCATAAAATTATATTCTCCCTCATTTAAATACGAGTGTATTTGCTTTATTGAAAATAAATGTGTTTTTCACTCAAAAAAAATTATTCACTGATTATACACTTAATGTTTAAATATTGATAACGTTTATTTGAAATTACTTTTAAATTTGAAAGATTTTACTGCCTTTTTTTAAAAAAAGTTGATTTCAAAATTAATCCTGCTTTTAAAATTTTTTTAAAAATACGGAACTAACGATTTGTGTTTTATTCAAATTTTCAGTTATATATTCTTTCAAACCCGCATATATTTTTTTTTTATACAGAATGATCAAAATGTAATTGACTCCGAAAAAAATTTTTTTTTTTTTCTAAATCGACTTTTTTGGTTTTAAGGAAAGTAGAGGGCCCCCTCACAACAAAAGGATATTCAGGATATCCTTGGGACGTCCTGGGGATATCGATTTGTTTTCGGCGGTTTGGATATCCCTGGGATATCTTAGAGATGTCCATGGATATCCAGAGGATATCTTAGGGATATCCGAATCGCCAAAAGCAAATGGATATCCCCAGGACGTCCCAGGGATATCCTGAATATCCTTGTGTTGTGAGGGCCTAATATAACCTCAAAACTGAAAAATTTAAGGTTATGTTAGGGCTTCAATTAAGGTTATTTTTAGCCCATTAACATATAACATCAAACTAAAAAGTAGTTTTTAACAGAACTAAAAATATATTTAAAAAATTGATTTCACACTAATTCGAAAGTACTTTTTGCAAAAAAAATTATTTTAAGCTTAAATTTACCACTAAATAATAATTAATAAATATTTTGTGTATTTTCTTAAAATTTAGTGAACAATTCCAATTTTTATAACAATTTAACAACTTTTTAATTTGAGCTAAGCATTCATAAAACCAAAAAATAGTCGATGTAGAAAAATCTTTATTTTTAGGGGTCTGGTATATTAAAAACACTCTGTATATGGCTCATTTCATTTAAATTGTCATATTCAGCTTCCAGAAAAGTTGAGTTAAAAAATTTTGATTTTAAGGTTGAAACTAATTTTTTTTAAACAGTTTAATATGTTAAATTAACTAAATAAATAGTGGTCACAAAATTAAAGTTATATATTTCTTATGGCAGACGTTTTTTTTTTTTTTTTGCAGAAATCGTCATATCTTATAAAAATTTTTTCTGTCAATTTTTGATAAAATAATAATACTAAATATAATTTGATTTGACTGCTGATAAATATACTGAAGTGTTTGGGGTCGCTGAATCCGAATTTGAAGTCAGATTTAAAATATTCAAAATGGCCGATCCAAAATGGCGACCATGAAAATTTAGAAGTTGATTCGATTCGCTTGAAACTCGTTACTTAGGGATTTTTTGGGTTGCTAATTACAAATTAAATGTTTCCTCTAGTAAAATATAATGTTCAACCTTAAAATTTTTTCATTAAACACCAATATATATAAGCGAATTCACTCCAAAAGCGCAGTAAATAAATTTGTTGCAAAAAATCACAATGCGCATGCGAATATTATAAATAAAAATCAAAATGAAAAATAAAAATAAATTAACACTGTTCTGAAATATACTCACATGTCTCTCCTCGTTGGAACTGAGTCCTGTAACAGAAAGCGTGAACGAGAAGAGAATTAGTTTCGGTGAATTTAATGGGCGTGACTGCAAATGTAATTTTCGTTATTATTCGCTTGCACCCGGAATTATAAAGGGAAATGACGACAAAAAAAAAAAAAAAAAATGAAAAAGAAAGTAGAAAAAAAAAAAATTGGTGCGCACTCGAGTCAGCGCGTGGTTATATAGCGTCGAGAACCCACCACCGATAGAATGTTAATAACGTTGCCAAGCGGGCATACGCGTTCTCGTATAAATGATCTTCATGCATATTTATGTGCTTTTCCCTCAAAACCGCCGGTGTCCGCTAACACGGTGGTGCAAACACGCTCTCTCTGAAAGCGGATACCGCTTTGAAAATTTTCAACGAAGCGTTCTCGTTCTGCAGAGCTCGACCCCGCGCGCTTTTCGTCAAGAGACAGCACATTTTTTTGCACCCTCTCCTACTGTGCTATATAGCAATTCGTTCTCGGAATGCAAACGGGATCAAACGATGGAGAGAGAAAGAGAGAGTAGTCGCTCGCACTTACTTTCATCGTTCCTGGTAACCGAGCCCCGATTAATTATCAAGTCCCTCCACAGCCTCTGAACCCCTGAACTTTTTATTTTTATTCTTTTTTTTTTTTTTTGTTTATACGCTTGCAGTTTTTTTTTTTTTTTTTTTGCTATTCGTCCGTTGCACAAAGTGTGCAAAGCACGATGGTAAAGCTGCACGAACTTTCTATTACGCGACGCAGAGCTATATATATGTGTACAGTACTCGGATTTTTCAATGGAAAAAGGTGAGCATTAAAAGTGGAGGAAAAAAAAAATATAAGCCCTGGAAAATCGAACCAAGAGTGCACCACACACACATATAGTTCCAATAGATTTCGATCCACTTATTACTTCCGATTTCATTTGCATATATAGTTTTGCAATCCAATTTTCTTTCGAGTATACCTAACGCACAAACATTTTGACTATAAACATTTGTGACCAATAAAATAAACCAACTGGTGGGAAAATTTTTGAAAATCACTGATACTGTACTGAGAAAAAAATATGCTATTGAATCAATAGCATTTCTGCCAAAGGTATAAAAATTATTGATTCAAAAGCAAATGCTATAAAATTTGTAAAATATTTTATAAATTCTATAGCATTTGCTTTTGAATCAATAATTTTTATACCTTTGCTAGAAATGCTATCAATTAAATAGCATATATTTTTCTCAGTGTACCAATTAAACTGTAAGTTTTCACCGCACAGTTTTCTTAAAAGTACCAATTTAATACCAAATCGGATAAAATTGATTCCAATATTTGGATCAAATTATGTTTTAATCCAAATATTGGGATTCGTTGCAATTTGATATATTCAAATTAACAGTGCCAAACTTGTAAATGTTGATTTAATAAGAGGAATGAATTTAATCTTTTAGAATATTTATCTAATAGAATTTTATTAAGAAATTAGTGGTGGTGGTGCTAAATTATATCCCGCAAAACGAAAGCAAAGAGAGAGGGGGTTTATAATAAAATAATACATACAATACGTACCTCCGTTACTTTTGAGATCATCAGGTTGTCGGTGAAAATCAGATTTGCCCAACATTGACAAGGGATGGCTACCAGGTGTTCCCGGTGTTCCTGGATTTAAACCAAGACCCAAAAGTTGAGCCGAAGCGGATGTTGGCATCGTGATACCAGGAGGAATGCCTGGAAGTGACGGAAGTCCTGGATGAGGACCCATTGAGGCACCAGGCGGTAATTGTTGGGCGTGCATCTGCTGTATCATTCGCGGTAAGTCGAGTCTTGGTGGCTAAAAAATAAAAAAAAATAACAAATTACAATTCATAATCATTCGGAAACTTCAAAAGAATTAAATCTTTTCAAAAATAAAACCTCTTTGTCTAATCAAAATTAATATAGAAATTTGCTAGAATAAAAGTTCCAGTTAATTTTTATACAGATTTTGGGGTAAAATTTTTTTTCGCAACAATTTTATATTTGTCCATTTAAGAATAAACTGAACTTATATATAAATACGTATGTCAATGTCGTGTATAAGAAATTATACTGCTCGAGTCTGCAACGCCGTAATAATATATTGTACGCTTGAGGGTATATATATAAGCAAAGGAACGTGTTACTCGATACTTTCCAGAAGTTAATACTTGAGGGAATTACAGACTACTCTCCCATCGTGCAACTACATGTGTATTTCGCGATACCTCTCTCTCTCTCTCTCACTCTCTATATGCCTTGGGAGCAGAGCCCAACCCTTAACGATCGCCACCCCTCTGTGTCAGGAAAATAACTATCGTATATACGCAATCGCTGTACAAGTCTGCGTTTATATATATATGTGTGTGTGTGAGAGAGGGATTATTTCATATAATCCTGAATAGCCACCCTCGTTCTCCTCGGAAGCCAATCCCCGAGGCCTAAATGCCTAAGTGAAATCCATGATAAGCACGATTCGAGCGCATAACGAGTTTATCGTTAAGCGAAAAGGGTCCTTCCATACTTTGTGGGGTGGAATATATTGCGCAAAATACTCAACTCGAATGCACACCTCCATTACAAAAATGAGAGAGAGAGAGAGAGCAGGTCTTTATTTGCTTGGGAAACACCATCTGTTTCTTGGTTGCTTTTCAAAATCACTTTTTTTCAGATGTTTTTCATTTTTCCTATTTAGAAATTTGTACAATTTTTTTTAATTAGATATAATTAAGTATACTGAAGAAAATAGCATTGTTTCAATAAAATCATTTAGGTACTTGTCTGTATTTGGATCCACTAATTTTTCTGAGAAGTATCAATATCTGAATAATAAAGTTAGAATTTTCGAGACACACATGAATATAGGCACTAAAGTCAATTTTTTTGGAATTATGTTTTAATAGAATTTTATCCTATACGCACGTGGAGAAATTTCTAGGAATATTTACCGTGTTGCTACCTGAAAGTGAGTGCAAAGTTAATACTGGCAATTTTTACTGTGCCTCTACAATCTGTAATGCAAAATTGTAGAGGCAGCACAGTAAAAATTGCCAGAATTCACTTTGCACTTACTTTCAGGTGGTAAATATTCTTAGAAATTTTTCTCCGTATATAGAATATCATTTTTGTAGAATAGTAATTTAATTTATAATTTTAGAATCTTATTTTCTTAATTCAAGACAAGTACTAAGTTGGCTACAATAAGCCAATCAATTTCATTAAAATTTTGGGTTTTTTAAAAATGAATAAATATTGAAAACTTGTTCCTTAATTATAATTTAAATACTTCTGGAAGTTTATAAATCGATTGAATCAACAGAAAATCCATTACAAGCTCTATCAATAACATCTGCATAATATTTTTTTCTCCACCATTTGTAAAGAACAAAAAAGAAACCATCGTGTATTGAGACAAAAAATAATCGAGATTCTTGATATGAGAGGAGATGGAGGACGTACTATATATATATATATATTGGAAGGACATGCAATGCGGGAGGCAAATTAACGCAACGAAACGTAATAGTATCTAACGAGGCTTAACGCGCCGTGAATAATACGATGCAGGATAGTTACCTCATATTCTGTTCTAGGTGAGGGGTCGAAAGCTTTTGAGGGGTTTGTGACAAGAGAATGTACCATATGGAATGGCAGGGTAAACTCAGGGCATATACCAGGGACTGAATGTTCCATATGTGTTCTCTGCAGTATTATTAAACGAAATATTGATTCAACTCCACTTTACTAAGTAATACATATTCATGGTACCCAGAAACTTTGATGTATCTGTCACCCTTCCCCCCCCTCTCTCTCCCTCTCTCTCTCTTTCTAAATCTTTTCTTTCTTTCCTGCGCCATAATTGTCCTTTACAAACCACTTGAAACGACTCTCTTTCTCACCCCTTTCAGTATATATACTGGACACTCGTTTTCTCGCGATTATAATCGTTCTTGGTATAGAGGTGAATGTACCTTCTGCAGGCATACATCTGAATAATTTGGCATCCCTAGATGCTCTATGCTTTTAATTCAACCCTTTTAGATTCCCTTCTCAGAATTTTAGATAAACGCGTCTCTCGCTTTAGTCCTCAGAAATTAAACATATATACATTCAGTGAAAAAAGAACGCGTCCTTTGTGAGGGCAAAAGTATAAAATAAAAATCTATATCTCTGAGAAAAAACTCTTAGTTTTATATATATATGGTGCGGGTATTAATAATATATACCTATGGGGTATTTTATTTTAAATCGTTCCATCTTCAAAAGGACTATATCGCGAGCATAGAGCGTTTTTTAAAATTATAAAAAAAATAAATTATTCATAAAAATGTATTACACATTATTTCAAAAGAGAATTTAGACCTTTCGATTGGTTTTACAGTTTTTTTTTTTAACTCAGAATTTCATAAATTCTATATAAAAATCTAAATATCTCAAAATACTTTATAACTTTCATTTAATTTGTATGAGTAAATAATTTGTCTGATTACTTATTAAATATGTATATATCATAATGATAAAAGGCTGCGGAAATAGAAATATATAGGTACGATGTTATGTCTCGAAAAGACAAAAGAGAAAATATTCATTGTATTATCGATTTTGATCGATATATATATATATTTGTGTGTGTACTGTTCTCTTAGTAAGGAATATTAGTTTTCATAATTTATATTCCTACTGCATCAGGAATCGAACAATGAAAAAGAGCTATATATTGTCGAGAAAATACAAGTCTCGGGAGATTCTTATCTTTAATCCAGACAGGAAGGAACGTTACTTATACTTATATATATATATATTCCAATATTAATATCTATACTAGGGAATTTAATAATTAAATTTAAAAGAGATGTATAGCACACAAAGACATATTTTATTTAAAAAAAAAATATTATTTTCATATTTTTATTTTAAACACTAAAATAGAATAAAATTATTTTATTCCATTTTTTTTTTATCAAATTGTAACACTTCGTTAATTGCGTGAGTAAATTATTAATTATTAATATTTATATAATTCATTTCAAGAAATATTAAAAAAAAATTTTATCAGACTATATGCTCTCTAACTCTATACATATGAAATAATGATTAACTTTCGGAATTATTTATTTAATCAATATTTGTAATTTAAAAGCTTTTAATATCAAATTTCCAAATGAATACGACCCTCGACTTAAGTTTTTATATAGAGTTAATGTGATCAACTATCGAGGTTAAATCAATTATAATATAAAAAAATTTCTTTTTTTGTTTTTTTTTTATAGAGAAAAAAAAGTATCACACCAAGTTTTGATAAATTCATTCATCATATAATGAAAGGGAAGATTTTAATCGACTTATTTCTATATATACTGAGAAGATGTTATTTTTAATTTAAGTGCAAAAGTTTATTGCTCACTAAAGAAAAAGTTGTGAATGTTATATATATATTATTCATTGTATATATACAAGTGCGATTATAATCACTTTTATGAATTTCGCTTTAGTTTCTTATTGAAATATGTATAGTATAATATTTAATCAAAATTGATCAATTTTTTTTCTAAGTTTGTATATATATATATATATATATATATATATATATATATATATATATATATATAAAAGCATGAAAATGTGCTCTTATTTTTTTTTCGTGTATATATAAAAGTATAGCTATAGCATTCATCCATTCATTTTCTATGCGAAAATGATTGGAACGTCAAAATGAAAGAAACATATATACGTATTTCGATATTGAAAAGTATTGCGGGAAAACTTGTTTTGGGGTAGTTTTATCGAGAAACGAATCGAATATGGACGAGCTTTTCAACGTCACTTCAACTCGACATTCACCAATATATGTATATATATATATACATGTACCTATATAGGAAGTGTGTCTTCGATATTCGAGGTCGTAGTTTCAATGCAGCATCTGTATATTTCATATATATATATATATATATTTCTACAGGAATTTCTGTATGTACAATAGCACGTAAATCATAAGGACACTCGAAGAAGATTCTTCGCATAATATATAAATACCATTGCATTTTACCATATACTATTTTATTTTTTTTTTTTTGTGTATATATAATATTCAGTGCATAATATACAAGAATATACCTATATGTATCCAACTACATTACGTGAAATAGGGAACAAATTTTATATTCGTTGTCGCGAAATTCTTTCTTTTGATATACAAAAACGATTGATTTTTCCGCGAGCTTTCAACATTCATATATGCGACTGTGACTTCTATTATATATTGATTCTGAATTTTTTTTCATTTATTATTATTCATTTGAACCAATATCTCTTATATTTTCATTCCTTTTTCATTTTTAGCTTTTTGACACTTGAAAGATTATTTGAAGACATATATATATATATATATTCCAATTATATAATTGATAAAAAAAGAGAGATCTTTATTTTTAAAAAATTGTTATAAAATGTGCTGCATTATATTTTTAGTGACTCGAAATATGTTAAAAAATTAACGTTTCAAGATAATTATTTAATGAGAATAATTTCTAAAATTGTTGAATAAGAAAAGGAGATCTTTATTGTTTTAAAAATTTATATATGTATGAAATGAGAGCCATTATTTTTAGCGACTTGTAATATTTAAAAATTAACGTTCAACTTTATTTTTAGCAATACGTATAATTATATTTAAGAATTATGTATTTAAAGAAATTTATATATATATACATTTCTTCAATGATATATAATTAAATTGATTTATAACGGAACTCTTTTTATATTTTCCAATATTATAAACCTATTTTTATAATAAGACAGAAATTATATGAATTTTTACCTAACAAAATTTTTAGCTATTGAATTTTTGTTTGGCAGAATTTTTAAGACGCCAAATTTTCATTTATCCGAAATTACAAACGGCCGCAAACAAACAATCGCGACAGAAAGATTTCGGCGAAATTTTTAAAATTGACCAATCACGTTTTTTTTATTGACAATTTTTAATTGGTCAATTTTAAAAATGGCGCCAAAATCTTTCTGTCGATTGTTTCTTTATGCGCCATTTGTAATTTCGGACAAATGAAAATTCGGCGTCTTAAAAATTCTATTAATTAAAAACTCGTATACAAATAAAAATTCGAACAAATTAAAATTTCGTGAATTCGAATTTTTGTCATTTAAAATTTTGAATCAGATAAAATTAATTTAAATGAGAATTCTACTACTTTAAAATTCGCTTAACTTAAAATTTTTTTAAACATACATATATATTTATTATTCTTAAAATAATTAAATAAGAAAGAAACCCACTTACAATGAACTGACATATATATTTTAAATTGGTAAATTTTTATTATTTTTAAATATTGAAATGGACGATTAAAATTTTTTCAGAGTGTTACATTTATATTTTAATGGGCAACTAGTTGCCGTGAGAGAGGTGATGTATAAATATATATATATATATTATATCGAGTAAAAAGTTGTCGACAAGTGGAAATTTTATTTACCGGAATACTTGGGGAGTGCCTAATAAATTTATTAGGCGACGTCGACGACGACGACGACGACTCGAGATACTTACGAGTTGGAATTATTCACGTCATGCCGGGGGAGAGAAGCAACTCGGAACTCAATTATGCGAAACGACAACCGAATGCCAATTTCACTCGGTGCTTATCGCTGTAATACACGCAGACTACGAAATAAGTCTGGTCGGTGTCGAGTCGGTGGACCGCGTTGAATTTCAATGCACGCTTCGGTGCATCATCCGGATCCTGGATGGCCTGGATCGATTGACAATTATTATCACAACGGTCGTGCCAGTCGTGCCAACACGGATACAAATTAACGGCGACATCCTTCGAATGAGAGAGAGAAATTCGATTTGGTCATTAAATATAATTTCTACCTCAACGATCATTTTCCCCTATACTCCACAATATTCATTAGTAATATTTCGCATAATTTTTAGAATTAATAATTTATTTAGAAATGTTTTTTTCTCTATTTTTTGTTTGGGTTCTAAGTTGTTAACAACTTGTTGCAATTGCAACTTTTGTATTTCAAATTTTTCTCTTTTTATTCTGATTTTAAAAATTCTTTTTTTTCCCCTCCTATACTAACTAAATCACGTGACGCTCACATTGGAAAGAATTTAATTATATATACACTCTTCTTTTGCGACCAAATCACGTAACATTTTAACATTCTAGTCGTATTTTTATTTCGTCTTGAATTATACATATAAATATCGGGAGTTCAAATCTTTCTATTAAAGTTTTTAATGAAGCAAGTTATTTAATTTTCTTGTGAATTTAAATATATATTGATTTGCTTACAAACAGATTTATCGCGGTAAATAGCTAAATACATATAGGGGGCGAACCCTTATAAATAAAATGTATAATAAAGAGAAAAAGGAGGGAGATTATTTAATTAAAAAAAAAGATTTATAAACTTCTTTACAAAAAAAAAACGGTTTATAAAAGAAAAAACTGATTTTTCCAGGCTCGCTAATATCTCACTTTAATAAAATTTATACGTAAAGTCTAATCCGATTATCATCGATATATAAATAACAGTTTTTAACTGTAAGCTTTTGTAGAATCTCAAATATTAATTCATATACATAACCATATGTATTATTATTTTTATTATTAGTGAAAATTTGGAAATTTATTATTATCGATTATTTTTGCAAATCTAAAAAAGACTTTATTATCTACCAAAAATTATCTAATGATGATAAATAAAGTTTCGGATTAAATTTCAATAAGTTTAAAAAAGTATATATATTTCGAGAAATTACGAAATTTTTATCAGAGCCAGTTTGTTTCTATATCCAAATCTATAAATTTTAATGTAACAACAAAATATTCTTTCCGAATCAATCAGTTTCTTCCTGAAACTGAATTTTTAATTCTTTGCAATTTTGTTTTTTACTTCCAATTCGTTCCGAAACTAAATTTTAATTCTTTCGAATCCTGAAATTTCATTCTGAATCAATGTTGAAAACGAATTTCATTTGGATTTATTCAAAATTAAATTTCATAATTTAATTATTAATTAAATAAAATTTACCTTCGGATTAATTCGTATACGGCAAAGAAAGTTAGTATCAAATTTTATAAAAGTATTTTACAATTGTGTGTGCGTCAATGTTTATTTGTATATTTATTTATAAATTGTGTCAAAATCATAATTAACAAAGTATTCAACCCTAAGTAGAAGTAAAATTTTCGAATTGTACTAAACATAACCAGGCATGTTTCGCGATTCGATTTTTCACTTCATTTTTTCTTCAATCATGAACCCCATAATACAGGCAATAAACTTATCTTGCCGATTTCTTGTTTTCTTTATTCATTTTTTATGTTTAATCACATCGCTCACAAAACTTTTTTCGTTCCTACAAATGCATCGACGTCACAGCAGACGCTACTTTTGATCCTCCAAAAATGTGATGGCACAAAAAGTTAGGTTTCACTACGAGAAACTTCGCCACGTCCGTTCATAGATGGCGCTAGTGTACTTATTTTAAGAAAAACGAAGTGTCCAACCCTGAGTAGAAGTAAAATTTTCGAATTGTACTAAACATAACCAGGCATGTTTTGCGATTCGATTTTTCACTTCATTTTTTCTTCAATCATGAACCCCATAATACATGCAATAAACTTATCTTGCCGATTTCTTGTTTTCTTTATTCATTTTTTATGTTTAATCACATCGCTCACAAAACTTTTTTCGTTCCTACAAATGCATCGACGTCACAGCAGACGCTACTTTTGATCCTCCAAAAATGTGATGGCACAAAAAGTTAGGTTTCACTACGAGAAACTTCGCCACGTCCGTTCATAGATGGCGCTAGTGTACTTATTTTAAGAAAAACGAAGTGTCCAACCCTGAGTATATTCCCTTACTAAAATAAAAAATTATTTGTTTCAAATAATCGGTTACTTGACTATTATCAAATATAAATATTTGCTTGAACCAAATAATTTTTGATTTGAATGAAATAAACTTTATTTGTAGCAATAAATTTTGCATTCGAAACAAATACCATTTAATTAATTCAAATAATAAAATTTTGATACAAATAATAATTATTTCATATAATTAAATATTTATTTTGATATAATAATAGTCAGGTAACCGATTATTTGAATAAAATAAATTTTTTTTTAGTGTGAAATGAAATAAATTGATTCGAAATGATCCGGAAAGAATTTTTTTGTTGAGTTAGATAAAAATTTAGATTCGAATAAAAACTGATTGTCATGGAGACAAATGAATGCCTCGGAATAATAATTATCCACAAATTAAACCTCAATCCGAAACTTTTATCAGAGAGAATATTACACTGAAAAAAAAGGTTATTTGAATCAAATAATTGGTTACTTTACTATTATTAAATAAATATTTAGAAATAATTTTTGAAATCAAATAATTCGATTAAATAAACTGTATTTAAACCAAATACCATTTAATTTGACTTAATAATTATTTAAATAAAACAAAAAATTTATTTGATAATATATAGTCAAGTATATAATCGATTATTTGAATCAAATAAATTTTTCTTTTTCAGTATATAAAAATATTATCACATGAAAATTTGTCCCCCCCTCATCTTTTTGACACAAACTAATTTGCACTTTGCTTTAAAATCATCATCATCATTATTTCTCAACTGGTGAATAACAAATTTTCTTTGAATTTTTATTACTTGACAGTTTCAAAAGAAAAAAAAAAAAAAAAAAAAACTAAATGCTTTCATTTATATACAAAAATTAAAAATCTCCTTGCTTATTTCAAGTTTCTATATTAAACTTTTCCTTTGTTCGTGTGAAATTTAGTTAAAACAAGAGAGAAATGTGTATATAAACTTACCACAACGACGGAGCCAGATTCTGTCATATTAACTTGCCTCGCTCTTTCAACCGTATTGGCCACCTGCTGTTGATGTTCTTGTGAGAGAAACGGTAAAATTTGAGCGATTACAGCATTCAGCCTTTTCGCTATTTCTGCCTGCAAATAATAATAAAAAAAAGAAGACAAGCATTAAAATTTGAATACCAATTCATAAAGAAGGAAATTTTAAAAATAAATAATAAAAAAAAAAAGAAGAAACGACTTTAATTTTCGAAAAAAAAATTAATTCTCTGCATGAGGTATACACATGTGTGAAGAATGCGGGGGAAAATATTTATTTTAGAATTGAGAACTGTAAAAATGTGACATTAAACGAGCAATATGTATATGTATATATACATATATGAAAAGATGAAATGGGGGAGAAAGAGAAATTCAGTTTATATAGAGAAGACAACATTTCGAACCACCAACCTCCTGTCAACGCAACGATCATCTATTTTCGTTGGAACTGTCTTTCTAAGTTCCAGAAGCTTTAGATTTTGTATACATATATATACTCTAGAAATAAACGTAGCATATAGTCAACAGGAATGTGCGCTGTCGGAATAACGAAACGGTACATGAATTTTCTCGGCTCGGTCGTTAAAAGGCAGGGAGAAAAAAAAAGAGAAGTAAGATTTAACAAAACCAACTGAAGGATAATTAACCAATGACGAAGTCCAGACAAGGTTGTTATCACGTCAAATATTCTTTATATGTATTAATCTTTTTTTCAAACAAGATATATACGATCCGAAGTGGAATATAAATCATGTATATGTGACAACAAAGAGAAGGTAAAAGAAGAAATACAAATTTTTTCAACGTGTTCAACACAAATACTCAAAAGTTTTATACGATCATTGTGGTATGAGATAAATTTTCAAACGCAATTGAAAAACTTTCAGTATTTTTCGATTCGAATACCTGGAAAGGTACAGTTTTAAATGAAATATTTTTACACTATATCCCAGATAGCACGTAAGCTTGCACCAAACCTTGCGGAAAGCTTGTCGCGCAATATTGCTAACCTTGCACGGAAAACTTGCCGCAATCTTCAAATGTTCCACCTGGCCTTAACCATGCTTGCATGGTAAACTTACCGATAGATTGCAGTGTAAGGTTGCTACAAGATTGCGCAATAAGATTATTGCAAAATTGCTCAGTAAGCTTGCACGGTAAGGTTGTAGCAAGGTTGTAGCAAGGTTGCCAAATAACTTTGCTTTAAACCTAAAAAAATTTTTTTCAATGTTTTCGTCTAATTTATATAATAAATATAAATTAGACGAAACATTAAAGAAAAAAAAGAATTTTAAGATTCAAAGCAAGGTTATTTGGCAACCTTGCACCAACCTTACTACAAGCTTACCGTGCAAGCTTACTGGACAATCTTGCGATATTCTTATTGTGCAATATTGAAGTAACCTTACATTGCAATCTTTCGGTAAGCTTACCATGCAAACTTTCGATCAGGTGGGACATTTGAAGATTGTGGAAAGTTTGCCGTGGAAGGTTAGCAATATTGCGCGACAAGCTTGCCTACTAAATCGGTTGATCATAAACGTTGTGAAGTTCGCTGACGTTATTATTAACAAAACCTCTTCTTTTAGGTGACATTTTTTTTAAAATTTCATCAGCATTTAGGAAACAATAATAAAAAGATTAATATTCAATTGTGAAGAGTAAATAAAAAAATATTTTCTATTCTTTTGCTCTAAATAAATTTTTATTTATTTATACTCGCTCTAAATTTGAGTTAATTCACTAATTCAAATTAGTAAAAAATTTCCACTAATTTTTAGTTCATTTTTCGCACTAAAACTTTAATATACAAAAATTTTGAAAAAAAAATATTACTAAATTAAATTTTGTACTAAAGTTCTACTAAATTTTTGCTAAAAATTAGTGGAAATTTCTACTAGTAGTAGAATTAATTAGAGAATAAATTAGAGAATTAATTCTCACACTGAGAGAAAAGTTTGGTTGGGGTTACCATTTTTGAAGGTGACTATTTTTAGTTAGTAAACTATGCTGCTGCTAATTTATTAGTTGTGTTTACTATTTTTATTGATTGGCATAATTATTTTATTAGTTAGTTTAACTAATTTGTTTGTTGAAATAACTATTTAATTAGTTACTTTACTATAATGAAATGATTAGGCTGACTAACTAAACTAACTAAATACTCTTACTAACGAAATGGTAAACGCATGTTAACAAAAATTTCTGAATAAATATCATGGTTTTTTTTTTGAGAAATACATCCTAAAAAAGACATCTTTTTCCCCCATTTTAAACTGGAATGTCCCCTTAATTAATTTGCCTTTCTAAACGTTTAATAATGAACGAAATCAATTTTTTTTTGGTGTATAAATTTTTTTTTAAATTAATTAAAAATACAAAAAGTGGATGAAATATTTTATAAATTATTAATTTATTTTTGAATGTGTGAAACCTTTCTGAGAATTAAAATAAATTATTTTTTCTATTATTTTACGTTTATGTCGTTGAGTAGTTCTTTTTTTCACTTTAGAGAAAAAAAAATTACTAATTTAAAAATCAAATAACATTGTTCGTTTGTTTTTGTAAATAATAAATGAAATTTAACTTGTGAGTTTATTCAGAAAGAACTTGTTTCGTACAAATAAGGTATATAATACGCACATAAACACAAAATGAATAATGTTTTATTAGATTTATGTGAGAAAAAATAAAAAAAAAAAAGCTGATATAGTGCAAACGGATGATGAGAACATAAAAATAGCTTAACACAGATATATATATATATATATATATATATATATATAAAGCTCTGGGGTACTTTTGCCTTTTATCAGTCATCATTCTGAACTTTACGCCAAGATAAAAAAGCAGTCTCTATACGCTATATTTTAGAGCCTTTTTTACGTTTTTAAATCTTTTTTTTTCATTTTTCACGAACAATCTATTATTTACACTATCTTTATTTATTTATATTTCAGTAAAAAAAATTTAATACGTCTCAGAAAAAAATAACAATATATGTACGATTGCTATGGAAAATTTAACGTGGTTAAATGGGTTATTTTATATTTAACTAAATAATTGTTCACGTCTTACCTGTTTGTGTAGTTCCATATTTGACGTGTAAGCCATTTCGTAATACTGTAAAAAAAAAAAAACAAGAAGCAATATTTTATCATTTTTTTTTCTTTTTCTGAAAAGCATTTATTAAGTTCACCTGTTACAATATACACGCAATTCAATATTTACTCAAAGTATTATAAGACTATTAAGATAAAATGTGTTTTATCAAAAGAAGAAACAAAATTACATACATTATGTATACATGTATATTTCGAAAAAACAGAATTCTTGTCACACATAGAATCACATATGAGATAGCGTATATATATATATATATATAAAACAAATTTCAAAAAGAATTAAAAAAAAAGATATAATCTATGAAATATATGTATATAGAGATGAAAATTATTTATTTTTTTTTGAATTTTTGTTTAATGGAATTAGTTTAATGGAAATATGGAATGCAAACAAATGATAAGAAAAAAAGGAAAAAAAAATCATTTTTTAACATTATTTAAAGAAAATAATTTTTTTATATTCCAACACTGAAAAAAAAGTGTATCATTGATTCAAGAAAATCATTTACTTGTCCGTATTCGATCCACTAATTTTTTTTAATTCAAGAAAATGTGGAAAAAAAATCTTCACCTGAAACAGTGATATATTTCACTAAATCAGCGAAAGTTTTCGCTATTCTAGAGAAACACATCGCTATTACAAAGATTTATTTTCTGTGTATACGTAAAATTTTCTTGTATCGAGAAAATATTGATTCAAATACATACGCAAACAAGTAAATGGGTTTTCTTGATTCAATACTTTTTTTTCCATAAAATTGTATTATCTAAATGTTTTCAATAAAATAAAAATTTCCAATTTATTCCCTCAAGAAATAAGTGTAATATTAATTTTTTCCATTCATGGAATTAAATTGAGAATAGATCTTTTAAACTATATAATATTGTTAATAATGTAAAAAAGAATTTTCATTTATGAAAATAAGAAAGAAATTCCAACGAACCCAGAAGGTGAACGTAAAAATGTATATATATACAGGGTGTTCCAAAAGTATGGAAACTTGCAAATATCTCGAAAAGTACGCATTTTCGTGATACTTCTTTATTCACTGTTGGGTCCCGCGAGACCAATTTTTTGCCTTCAAAAATGTAGATCTTTTTTTTGGGAACAACTTTTGTTTTGAATATTTTTCACGAAAATGCGTAATTTTCGAGATATTTGCAAGTTTCCATACTTTTGGAACACCCTGTATATATATAATATTGCGAAAATTAAAAGCGAATAATTGTAAATGCGAGAAAACTTACCATGATGCAATGCCGCTGCAGATTCTCCTTCTCGTTATTCTGCTTATCGTATTCGATTTTAAGGCTGTAACATAAAAAAAAAAAAGTTGGGTGAGAAGTGATTCGGAAAGTTAATAGCGTCATTATATAGCTGCAAAGTGGCTGCTCCAGCAAACTGGAACGAAGCGAAAGCCGTGCGCGAGAAAAGTTTACAATTATATACATATATATATATATATATATATATATACAATAAAAAGAAGTTCTCCTAAACCGCAGCCGATTCAGTGCAATTGAATCTGTCACAAGAAATTTTTATCTGTATATATATATATATATATGATTTCGCGAGAAAAGCACGTAAACGTTTTTTTCTCTCCTATAAATAAAATCATTTCATCAGAAATTGTCCTATAAAAAACATGTCCCTATAAAATTACAATTATTACACCGAAAGAGAAATTTTTCCATTCTATAAGCGAAATATAATTTATTTTAATTTAAAAAAATAATTAAAAATTATTTTAAAAATTAATAAAATAAATAAATACTTAAAAGAAATTTATAAAATATTGCTTTCTGTATATCCAAAAATAAATAAATAATTTTTATTTTTCATTACTGTAGTAATTTTTTAAAAAAATTAATAGAAAAAAAAATTATTTTGTTCATTTGAACATTTTTTAAAATAATTTTCTGCTTTAAAACAAATTTTTTTTTCTAATTTTTTATCATAAAAAATTGTGTGCTTTAGTATTGTAATTAATTTAGGGACGCTAAACTAAATGTAATTAATTCTAAACTTAATTTATTAAAATTTTTATTTCACGCAGAATTTCATTGCCTAGATTTTATTTTTAGTCAAATTTTTATTTTTTCGAATTATTATATTACAAAAATTCCTATTTGCCCGAATATTACAGAATTTTTAATTTAACGAATTTTCATTTTACCGACTTTTTATTTCATAGAATTTGAATTTTATCAGAATTTGTATTTGTTCCAATTTTCATTAAACAAAATAAATCGTTTAAAAAAAAAATTTTACTTCACAGGAAGAATATTAGAAAAATATATTTCATAGCCGAATTTTGATTTCTTCGAATTTAAATTTTAGAGAATTCTTAAAACGGCGAATTTTCATTTTTTCCGAAATTGCAAGTAGCCGAAAAACAAACGACAGAAAAAGATTTCGGCGCTAATTTAAAAAATTAACCAATCATAATTCAGTTGATAATTTTTGATTGGTTAACTTTAAAATTCGCGCCCAAATTTTTCTGCCAGATATATTTATTCGAAAAAATGAAAATTCTATAAAATAGAAATCCGATGTTTTAAAAATTCCATTAAATGAAAAATTGAACAAATAAAAATTCGACTAGAAAAGAATTCCTATTTCTATCATTCTTTCTGTAAAATAAAAATTCTTTTAAAAATGATTATTCTGTTTATTCGAGTAAATAATAATAATAATTCGAAGAAATATAAAAATTTAGCTAAAAGTAAATTATATAGGTAATAAAATATTCTGTAATATAAAAATTCTAACAAATTAATTTTAGAGCATTCATGCGTCTATTAATTTATTGAATAATAATTCTTATCATTATTTGTAGTCAAAATTGAAATTAAAAAAAAAATTACCCAAATAAAATGAGCAGACTTTTTGTAGACAAAAGTCTACTAAAAGTCTGCTGACTTTCTGCAGACTCTTTTATATACTTATAGGATATTTATAAAAAAAAATGTATACCGTCTGATTTTAACAAAAACAAAATATATGTACTGCGGCTTTAGTTTATAAATAATTCATCGCAGTGAATTTTCTTTCTGTTAAACTTGTTTTGCACAACTTCTGTCCATATAACATGGACCAAAAATTCTGAATATATATATGCGAATTGAAAAGAAAGAAAAAAAAAAGAAGAATATATAGACTTATAAAAAAATAAGCCTAATTTCACATTCGCTGAATTTATTGACTGACTGGCATTATATTACGTTTCATGTATAAGTCTGTGCGAAGCATACTATCGTAAATCACTTATGACTTCGATTCTGTGGCCTCGCGTGCATGGAACGACCATTCCAGCTGCTATTGTTCCCGCGGTTTCTACAACTGCTTGAAAAGAAAGAGCTAAGAGAGAAAGAGAGAGAAAAAAAAACAAGAAGGAAAATATATATATATAACATGGTTTCTAGCAGTGATCAATCGAGGAGAACACATCGCTGAACATTACCGACTGTTTGCGGTCTTTTGAAATTGGAGTCGTAAAGTCACCAAACAGTAAAAACAACTTCCCAAGAACTACTTGTAATTTCAAAATTTTAAAAATAAAATAAAACATATATAACTTTTTTTATAATTAAATTTTCAAATGTAGTAAATTATATTACATGGAAAAAAAAAGGAATTATGCTTACAAATGCTAACTGATGTTTGCTATCAGATCTATCCAAAATTAGTAAGCACAGCTAAATTTTTTGCTATGACAACAAAAAAGTTTGCTATGATAAACAATATTAGTCGTAATTTTATTTTAAATTTACTGTCACAGTAAACATTTTTGACACCAATGCAAATTTGTTCGCTGCCAGAGCAAATTTTTTCTATGCGTATATATTAGGCGCGTCATATATTACTTACTTATGGTACTGAGCTTGTAAAAAATTGAACTCGTCCTTAATCCTGTCACATCCTTCGATCACAGTAAATTTGAATGGCTGTCCAGGTTGTGGTGGAACCTGAAATTAAAAAATTAATTTATTTATAAATTTTTACAAAATCGAATTAAATATGATGCAAATACCATTAAATTGACTTAAATATATAATAATTATTAATAAATATTTATTTGATAATGGTCAAGTAACATGTATATTATTTGAATTAAATAAATTTTTTTAGGTATTTTTTGGAATGATGAAAATTTTATAAATTCATCAGGAACTCTCTTAGACATTTGTTTGTTTAGAAAATTAAAAAAACAAAATTAAAATCAAACTGAATTATTTTTTTTTAAAAAAAGTAAATAATCTTCTTCCACCATATTGGATCCGCCATTTTGAATTTTGGCAAATTGTTACTTTAAAAAAAACGTTCGAGTTCTTAAAAAAATATAGAAAAATTAATTTTTAAATCAAAGAAGTATTAATTCCAGGGTCAAAGATATGTTTTCTTTAATTTAAAGAAAATTTTGTTATTCTAAATGAAATTTTGTTTAAAAATTAAAAAAGTATTTCTTTAAATTAAACAAATTTTTTTTTTAAAACAAATAAATTTTCTCTAATTTAAATAAAAACTTATCTTTGACCCTATATCAAAGAAACATTTTTCTGCATAATGTATATAACTCATAAATAATTATAATTTAATAAACAAATATATAATAATTAAAAAGAAATATTATATTTCATTGTAGAAAAACGTAAAATTCTTTTAAAATTAATACACAACACAGAGAAAGTAAAAGTGAAAAAAAAATTGAAAGTGTAGAAAATATAATTTTTCCATGTAATTTAAGAATCTAAGAGAGGAAACGTTTAAAAGTGCTAATAATTAATCGTTGTGCCTCGCGCAGCGTGAATCTATAACGAGGCAATGTGTATAGTGTGCACTGTCGGTGATTCGATTTATCAATGTATATATACCTACCCCGGTCATATCACACACGATGAGTGAATATATATATATATATATATATATATATATACGAAACGAACTTTCAACTAGATTAAGTGGATTTGCTATATAATATGTACAAATGCGTAAACGTGCAACATTGGTAAATGGAATGAAGATTTCCTCCGCCCCCGATTTTTTAAGATTATATATTGAAAAATAAAACAGATAAATCTCTTCAAAAGACGTTGGTAACAGATTTATTCAAATCTGGACCTCATAAATTATTGCACACGCTGAGCAGAGAGGTTATTTGAATATAAACCTAAGTAGTAGCACGTTTACTTCACCATAAATAAATTTTTATTGTTTTCCTTTTTGTAAATACAAGTTACTCACAATAAATGTATCGCACTATTTTTTTTTCTTTGTATATTCTAACAAAATGTTAATAATAATTTCACAAAGGAATTATTATTTTTCTGGAAAATATAGATATATTATTTAAATTTCTTAATTCTTATTGGTTTACTAACTATAATTTTCAAAAATAATTTTAAATCATTTTTCTACAAAAAGATACTATGCGGTAATTTTTTTTTATTAATTTTTTGCAATATACAAAAATGACAAGAAAGAGAAAAATTTTCGTTCAATGTTATCAGCTAAATGATCCTAATATATAGAATAAAAATTGTTTGTCTAAATAAATTTTCAATAAGCGTTTTTTAGCAAGACTTTTTTAGAAAGTGATATTACAGGCAGATTTATACTATTTATGCTAAAAACTGATTCTGATTTATATATACAATATTTTTTTTTAATATCCAGGACGGTGTAATCTTTTAATGAAGATCTTTTCAAAATTTTTTCAATCGAGTTTTGCATAATATTTCAAGTTATTTTCTTCTATTTACTGATAAATTAAATTTAATAAATTTTCAAAAACTGCTTTAATTTAATAGTTTTATTTTAAATTTAATTTATCTTTGCTATACAGTCAAATATATATTTAAATTTGTAACAAACATAGATTTTGATTGATTCAATGTATAAATAATATATTGTTAATTTTTATCAAATTATCATCAATTTTAAATTATATCGTATTTTTACTTTTAAAAATAAAATATCGAGGATAAAATCAAACATATACAGTTGTTAAACATATTTTTTTTTGTTTAAGAAAAATCGAATATATTTTTTGAATTATAAATATATATTGATTTAAACAAATAATATATTTTAAAACTAAAGTAGTAAATATTTTCCATATATTAAGATTATAAAGACTGAGTTGTACTAAACAAAATCATCAAAAATTATCTTTGTATTTAAATTAATATTAATGTTTTCTCAATAGAAGTCAATGATAACAAAATAAGCTATAATTTATTAAAAGCAGATGCCATTAATACAATTAATTTAGACGATTAAATAAAAAAAAACCATTTTTCAAGATTCTAACTATAATTTTTTTCCCGTTTTAAAATTTAAAAAAAGGTGTTTTCTGTTCATAACATTAAAAAAATGTTACGACAACTTAAGGATATTTTTCTTTCATTTTGTACCTCCATGAAGAGTTGGCGTCGACGCTCAGTATCGAAAATTATTTTTCCTATGGATCAAAAATATCAAATTGGTTTTAAAACGGTTTTGGGTCCACATAATATCTTGAAAAGTATTTCTCAAGGCATTCTCTCATTTTTTGGACCAAAAATCTTTAAAAAAAAAAATAATTTGACATTTTTGGTTCAATTAAAAACAATTTTCAGCGCTGAGCGTCGACGCCATCTTCGTGGAAGTCATTTTGTAGAGTTTTTCATGACGCTTCTTTTGACCTATTAGCGAACATTCTAGAGTTATTCTATGCAGAGTTATTGATATTTTAAAAATTAAAAAAATATTCTCAAATTTAGAATATATAGACCCCTTTTTCAACGTGTGGATAAATTTAATCATCCAAAAGGTTAAATTTATCCACACGTGCTCATACTTGGCATCTTTTTTTGAATATTTTTTACAATTAATTTCATTATGTATTCTTAAAATTATAATATATTCTTATCATTTATAATATATAAGTACCAAAAATATATTCTAATTTTAAGAATACTACTCTCTAAATCTGAATTAGTAAAAACGTTTAAACTGAAAAAACTTAGTCTCAATTTTTGTTGCAAATCAAAATGAGCCAATGCTAAACGACATAGACAGTGGCGCCACCAACCTGGTTCATTTTTGTTGCACATCAAAATGAGCCGCCTATACACGGCTCATTCTGAGTTCAATTTTTTTCTGTGTACTAATTTGAATTAGTGACTCATTTTTTGCTTCTGAATTAGTAAAATTTTACTAATTATTAGTAAATTTTACTAACAATGAGTAAAATTTAACTAATTCTAAAGCAAAAAGTGAGCCACTAATTCAAATTAGTAAACATTCTTACTAATTCAGATTTAGAGAGTATATACATTCTGAATTTATCACAGAAAAAACGCTAGATAAATTTAGTTGCGGTTTTTTTTAATATTCTAAATTTGCGGAATATTTTTTTTTCGGGTGTAATAATGTTATAAGGGAATATAAGCGTATATAATTCGCAAGTGTCAGTCCAGAATGGTAGATCAATGGAATATATATATATATATATACTGAATTGTACACGAGTACTTCATCGATGTGTGATTAGGTTAATGCAAGTGCGCTCACAAGTGTACACTAAACGTGCACTCACATGAGCGCAAAGTTCAATATAGTTCAACACTATGGTCGACATGATCTCGACTGACTGTGGCGGCCTTGCCCGAGAGTGAGAGAGAGAGAGAGAGAGTGAGAGAGCAAGTGTTAATTACATGTTTGCGGTGTCCACAAGGATTACACACTACAACCAAAACTATGAGCTAGCCTGCTAGCGAAATGCATTTGCCATCTCTCTGCAAGTTTCTCTTTTACAAAAACAACTTGCACGCACGATTATGTGAAAAATTATTAAAACCGGTAAAATAATTAAAAAAAAAAAAAAAGTATTCGTATAATTTTCTTCAATTTTAAAACTTTGTAAAGGTGAGCATATTTTTATAATCTAGTAAAGAAACATAGATATTTTCAATTAATACCTCGTCAAAATATTAATTTTTTAGTTACTTTCTTTTTTATGACTTCTTGTAGATACTCTGAAAAAATTGTAGGTTATGTACTTGTATGAACTGACCATACAGCGCCACCACGATGAACTAAAATACGATCTTATTTTAGTTCATTGTGGTGGCGCTGTATGTCAGTTCATATAAGTACATAACCTATATTTTAACAATTTAGTAAGACCAAGAAAATTCTGAATCAAAAAATTCAAATTTTATATAAACAGATTTATACCAAAAAAATATATATATTATAAAACAAATCCAAAATTCTTTAGAAGATAATCCTCTTAAACTAAGACTATATATATTCTTTGTATTTCACACACACACATATATATATATATATATATGAAACATAAAGAGCGAGAAGTGTCAGGCTTAATGACCGTTAAACAATGACACGCAACGCGTTAATGTTTCAGGTATTTAGTGGCTGTTAGAATACGTTCGTTAATAGGTAAAACGTACTTCGTTACGGTCTCTGCGTGCATACGTGTGCGTAGTTATGTAAATTTTCAAAATACCGTGCACGAAGTGCGAAGCATCAGCATATACACATAGTAACACACCGATCTTTAAAATATATATTATATATTCTCTGTTTGTGGTTTGTAATTTTCAATTTTTTTTTCTTTTTTTTTGTTGCCCCTTTGGGGAAAATTGTAGTGTACGATTTCAAGAAAAATAGGAACAAATTATACTATCTATATCCTCATTACAATGTATAATTTATAGTTTGAATAGAATAACTTTCACGTATTTATGGGCGTTGTGTCTGTGATTCATAATAATTTTGGGTTAAATACTATATAATTCTTATGTATTTTGCAAGAAATACCATAGGTTTTTTTTTAGGAAATTAAAGCTAAGAGTAGTGGAAATTTAAAGGGGGGAAAATTAAATTGAACGGTAGCTGATGTAGCATCAATTTTAGAACTCTACTGGAACTATATAATTCTAGGACTAGAGTAGCATCA